TCGTGGTCTGTGTTTAATTTATCAAATGCTCCAAGAAATCCTATTGTACTTCCCGGCCTAATACTGTAGCTGCTTATTATTACTCATACTGAACTAACGGTAAGCTGCAGGGGGGGGGGGGTGTGGGAGGGGGGTTTATAGAGTTTATAGATCTGTAACATTGACAATTTGTATCCATAAGTGGTTAAAATGGCTTTGCTGTTAACCTCTGAGGAGAATAAGAATAATTTGTATCATATGCCCTATTATATACGAAAACAAGCATTACATTTTCGTAGATAAAACGGTGCGAAAGTATTAACTCGCTCAGTCCAAACACATTGCAATTTAATTCTGAGTGCCCCTCACTTATCTAATATAGTAATACTTTCGAGCCAATCCTGCGGTCCACTGCCAAATTACGTAATTATACTAGCAAATCTATTATAAGCGGAGAGAGAGCGAGAGTGGGAGAGAGGGAGAGTACAGGAGACACTTTAGTATCACATTTGGGTCATAAAACCATCAATTAAAACCATAACCACCGACCGATTTAAAAACCTTAATCTTTGGCTTCGTCAGAGTTTTGTCGACACTATACCGAAAAATCAGTCCCATATCTCTTACCGTTTTCTCTATTTAACCATTCGTAAACTACAAACTTACAAACAGACGCACACACGCACACACACACTTTTTGAGATTATTAATATATGTATATTTACTCAAATCACTTGATTATCAAACACGAGAATAGGACAATTTGAAATTCTTATTTTCAGAGCGCTCTTCCATTCAATAGTTTTATTCAGTATCGGATGATCTCATTGGTTGTTACGTCACTGTATCCTAGTCTCCTTGTTAGCTGCTTGCTCTGACGTCACTGAATTAAGCTGCTCCTATTGGCTGCTAGCTCTGACGTCACTGAATTTAAGTGTTCCTATTGGCTGCTAGCTCTGACGTCACTGAATTGAACTGCTCCTATTGGCTGCTTGCTACAGCTCGCCGTGCTGATTGGCGCTCTCTACCTCTGTCGCTATAAAATGTAGCATAGTGTAATATCACATTGAATATCGTGCTCCAAGCGATACGAGTCGGCACACTTTACAAAAATTAGGATAGACGTCCAATTCAAGTCAGGAGCTTTTTATCTATATATAATACTTCTCTGTCTTCTCTTTGACTGTCTACAAAATAAAGCCACAGAAAAAGGAGAATGGAGAGGAGGAACATTCATTGTGCTAACAAATAAAGATACAGTATTGTAGTAGGATATCTTTCTTTATAACATTTGGAGACATTTCTTCTTTTTTACGCTACATCGCAAACTACGGAGGAGAGGGGTTCTTTCAGCTTTTGTTCACGTAATTTGTTCAGTTAGATGGATCACACAGAAAGGGGCATTGACTGTAAAATCCGCTTCCAGTCAGATTGAGCTGTAGTCCCTACGATCAACTACAAATGACGTAGCCTACAATAATAATAATAACGCAGTTAACGTACATCGCACTCGTCATCTGACCTATACGGGTGACGGTATAATACGATATGATTTATTATAGATTACGGAGTAAAGTCTGAATGTCGGCACACACACCATCAAAACAAGCTGAAATCCCTCCCAGACCAGCCTGACTTATCTCTCTCTCTGTGTGTGGGGACATTCCTCAAATAACGGGGGGATGATCCAGGTAGTTCCGGCTAGACAATAAGAACAATAGTCCGCCCAGTAATTGTACTGTTTTCTAGAGTTTCACAACACATTCAGTGTAGACAATTTGCCATATTTAAAGCGGACTGAGTGTTGAACAGTCTCTTCATTACACATATGAGTGGGGGGGGGGCAAATGTCACGTGATAAGAGCATGACCGGAGTGAACTGAGATTGCAGGGTTCAGAGGGATGAATTGAATTGCATAGTCCAGAAATGGGGCCCGGACTCTACGGAGTGAGACTCTACGGAGTGAGACTCTACGGCGGGTTAGGGTAAGGGTTAGGGTTAGGGTTAGGGGATAGGGATAGGGTTAGGGTTAGGGTTAGGGTTAGGGTTAGGGTTAGGGTTAGGGTTAGGGTTAGGGTTAGGGTCTTACGCCGTAGAGTCTTATGCCGTAGAGTCCCGGACCCTCCAGAAATATCTACCTACTTCTCAGAAACCTACCTCAGACTTTACACGGATCTTTTTTGATCTGAAACCAAAGGACATTTACCACAGACAAGCTAGATCACTGACATGTTGGCTAAAAACTGAAAGTAAATTTAACCAGCTGAGCTGAGAGTTACTGAATCTTCAACCCTACACTCTTACATTCAAAACGTGTGAAGTGGTAACAGTCGGCATAGGGAGCAGGTTAGCATGCCACGTCGGTAGAGGGGATGAAGCGCATTATCCAATCAGAACTGTCCAACTGAGTGACGTCATAGCAAGCAACCAATCAGGAGAGAGCATGGCAAGTCTGATCAGTGGGGGAAGTATCCATTCGTCAAGGCTAAAAGTCGAGATTCCTTACAGCAGTTTTTGTGGTGACGTATTTTACAGCGGGTCGGACGTGTTGTACAGTTTCAAATGTATCTTCTTTCTGGCAACTGTATGTGTGGCTTACATGGAGAAGATGTTGTGACTGCTTGAATGTTCGAAAGAATGCGGTGAAGTACTAGGAGTGTGGTACAGTGAACCTTCAACCCCGGGACCAGTTCGAGACTGTGAAAATCGAAAAATTACGGAAATGGAAGGACCCGGTAAAATGAATTCGTTGTGCTATTTTTGCATTTACAGTTGGGCAAGGTACCGGAAATTGACTGGTCTGATATTGGTTCGGAGGAAAATGGTCCGGAATGTGTTGGTCCGGAATGTGTTGGTCCGGAATGTGTTGGTCCGGAATGTGTTTTAATGAAGTGATAGACATGGTGTTCGAAACAACTGTATGTTGTCGTCTTATTTCTACATATCACTCACTAAAATATCCACGCACCCATCAATAGGATTTTCATCAGGAGATCCATCTAAAACCCCATTACATCCCCATTACAATTTACATCCATCCAATCCAAATTAAGATAGCCCATTTGATTGATCTAGTTTTAGTGTAACAGATATAAGTCTCGCCCCTAAAGATATCCTATATCTCCGGTCCAAGTAAGCTCGTGTGCGTAACTGACAAATGATGTGTACTGAGCTCGCTCCACCAAATGACAGGATATTTACACAGTAGGCCTGGTCATTGGTAGGACAGGATATCATGATGTTCCGTGATACTTTCTATTACAGAGCTGCTTTATTTCAAGTAAGAAATTGATACTCAGGACAGCTTACTAGGAGGATACCAAGATACCATTGTGTTCACTGAAACGAATTATACTTTATTATCAGTATTCTGATACTTACAGAGCTCCTTTACTTCAAGTATGTAAGGAATTACTGTACAGTGAAGATATCTTACAATGTAATTCACAATGGCGCTCAAATAGCAGTGGGTTCATTTCAGTGACACTCAAAAATTTATTTTTTGATGAAACATCACATAAATTTGAACGTATGCTGAGAGCTGAGGAGCTGTAATCTAACGTGTAGTTGTATTGAGTGAGCTATTCATGACGGTACACGGTCGGCCCAGTTCTACATGTCGAAACGTTTAAAATCTCGCTTAAATCGCGTTTTACGTGGCAAATTTGTAAGCAGGCATTATGCAAAATGCATTATAAATATGTGTCTGAGTTTTTGGAATGTCTTAGATTTGAATTCCAGAGGTAGGTATGTACCGTATTATAAGTTTTTCCTGTCGGAGATAGGAATTATGTTTCGAAACAGCTAAACTGACGATATCTTGATAGCTTCAGCCAGTAGTTTTCTAGAATTAGTTTCAGTTGTAGAAATGTAACTGTTGAGTGAGAATAAAACTACCACCAAGAATATTACCGTGTAAGAATTACCGGTTGCCATGCGATTTATGCGGTAAATGCGGTTAAATTTCAACGTTGCTTTCACAATTTGGTAAGCTTAACAGGAGTCTATAAGCGGGTGAGGTTAACATGGCCACGATCGAGCACGCTCGACATATTCTCCCATTGTTGCGTGTGATACAAAACGATGTAGTATATTATGTGGGATCGTGCTCTCGAGGAGAGCCTGAGATTTATTTGCGTTGCTGCTGACCACAATTGAGTTACGGCATATAAATCATACTGTCCCCGCAAAATGTGTGGTTTTTCAGAGCCCATCATTGAATTATCTACTGCTGAAATTTGTCCAATGAGATCACGAGTATGAGGCCACGTGACAGTCAGCCAGCCAGTGGGATGGCTTGCGGAGGAGTCACGTGACTTGGTGGTCGTATCATAGTAAAACAGAGCGTTCCTCTGACAAGCTCACATTCACAGCACTGCACGTCCACACGTGAGACGGCGAAAGACCGACCAGTCAGCGAGCAGCAAGTTAGTCACGTGACCATAGCAACCAATGGGAGGGAAGGAGAAATACCACGTGCAGGGAGGAGGGGAGTCAGTAGGATGGAAATGAGATGCTGGTTTGGCTGGAGTGAAGTTGGGAGGAAGAAGATACGTGAATACGGATGTAAACAATTCTCCCAGCTCCGAGATTGCGTGTATGGGTAACACTATTTACATGTGGAACAGAACAAAGTTACACTACCCGTCATTCTAATATATCACATAAATATTACAATATTATTCGGTACGTTCGCGATGTAATGGCGAAATTATGGAATATTAAATCATTTGAAAAGGTCGGAATACTGATAGTAAAGGTTATGCTCTGTCGCTGTATATAAGGTAACGTAATCATGAGAAATAATAATGGTTTGAATGAGACCCCACGTACTTAGCAAGGTGGATAATGTAATGGGACCTTACCAGTGCGGTCATATTAAATGTTTCTATCAATCGATAATATTTAAGATAACGAAGTCAAATGTATGATAAGATCGTAAGGCTGATAAGTGATAACACCACCATATGCTCCTAGCCTTCAACCCCTGAAACTTGTAATGAAGTAATCATCAACTCACCTTTGAAAATGTATGCTTCGTGTTCACAGATGTCATCGGCAGAGTCCTGAAAAAGTTCAGCGTCATTAACTCTAATGAATTCCCAAAAATAAACCCAAATCCCAGTCACTGAGTAACATTAAATATAGCGCAGAGGGAGAGAGGGAGAGATGGCCGAGAGAGGGAACTCCTTTATCAAACATCTTGCATTCTTATAGTCCGTTGTTAAAACAGGCACCGGGGTTATCCTATTCTAATTCTATACATCAACACTTGGACAACCCGAAAAGAGGAGGAAAAAACTTTTGTTACGTTCCAAAATTACAAAATACACCCCACAGATTTACAAAGTACACCCCACCAGATTACACCTTTCACGGACAGTCGCAGAAATTTCCCACAGAACTACGCGGACAGACGAACGATATGCACAGCGTGGTTCGGAGCGTATTTCAGCCCGGATCTGAGATCCGGTGCTTGGCACGCGTCGTGTTTCCTGTTTCCTCGAACACTTTGAAAATTCACAATTGCCCAGTGCAACGTCAGACTTTTGTTTAAAAGTAAAGAAAAGTTGACAACATGGACCCTTGCCCTAGCTTTAGTGAGTAACACTGTTCAGAAGTTCCGACCTGGTGGCTGCAGAGTGCAGAGTGCAGTGTTTCTGATTGTATTTAGAAATTTCTGATTATAAACGCTTGAATGTGGCAATGGAAACTAGCTCTTGTAGTTGCTATGTAATTTCAAGGGGGAGTGGAGGTGGAACTAGTTTTACTTTTTCTCAAACTAAAAATGTTTTAAATGTATAGCTAACATCAGTGCAGAGCTTACGTTTGTTGAAGCAGTACTGTCTTGACATTTAATAATTCGGGAGCATGTACCAAATTTAATTAGCGATTATTATTATTACATAGAAATATTATACATATAATAGAGTTTTAAATTGGACGTATAATAATCAATAACATTGTAAAAAGATTAACACGATGCTTGCTACTGTATGCTCACATTATACGCATATATTAAAGTCACTATTGTGACGGTACATTAGAACTATCTAGTCAAAATAAGTCGATTTGTCCCCCCTGAGCGATAAAAAAGTCTAATGATCAGAATTTAGAGAAGCTTCCTGAAGTAATGAAACGAATAAAAACGACCAAAACTAAATTTGCCAAGTCGTCTCTGTTTCCACGCCTCTCATAAGTTGGATTAAAATAGTTTTCATTCTGGTTTGATTTTATTCCAATATTAAAATACTATTATTCTATAGCTATGTAAATCAATTATACAGCATGTCGAAGTAACATTGTAGTGTTTTAAACATGAGACCGAGTGCCGACTGTCTCGATAATTGCAATAATGTTCAATTATTCCAAACTACTAAACATCAAGTAGCTTTAATAAGATAACAAGTCATCAAGCAAATTATTACAAATTTATACTCAGACAAAGTAGCAATATCTAATACGACATTCGTTATGCAAATTAAATCTTGAAGAATTATGTATTAATAAAAGTTGTACAGTGTATTATCAAGCAAGTTCAGACGGATCCTACATATTTACATCGTATTTTTAGCTGCGATCTACTTTTTGAACTGTATTACAGAAAGGATTTTACTTTTTTTAATTTTTGGGGCACCTCGTCGAAGACGGCTGACAATCATATTTTAATCTTTATATCAATTTTGGGTCTGATGATAACTTCAAGGTTACATGCATGGTGTACATGTATACCGTTTAATTGTAAACCGTTTAGTATGTCACTGTTAACAGAATAGTATGTGGTTATTGTAACCTGCTAATGAAATGCACCAAGCATAACAGAAAACAGAAAAGTGACATTTTGGTAACTCGATTACTGTTTTAAGTAGTAGGAAAACCCAATCTACTCGGTACTTTTGATGTGGTATCAAGTAGGTGCTGTTAACTCATATTTAGTGTTATTTGATTATTTACAATGTAACACAAGTTTTTATTTCGTTTAGCAATGCACGATGTTCTCAGCATTAAATATCTAATAAATAAATATCTAATTAATATGTATAGCTTTGTACACTGTGCAGTGTGTGCAGGCTGGGCAACATCCCAAATAAAATGATATTGTGCAGGTTTTTTTAGAGATGCTGGACATGGATTGCCCACAAGAGGATAGCATAGAGATGCTTTGCCTACCTCTGGGGTGTGGCAACTCTTATGGAGGTGCTGTAATCAACAATTGATGTTTAATTGATATCACATAACACTCCTCTAGCGCAAATAGTATTATAAAAAAACAAACAATAATCGGCAATTCTCTCTTTACAAAGTTATAACCTTGCGTGAGTTCTGCTCCGACCTCTATAAAATATATCTTGTATCAATTCTCCAGCTTGTTAATACACCAACTGTTCTTTCAGTTTACTTTAAATAATGGAATAGAAACCTAAGCTTAGTATACATAGATTACTGTACTCCGCTTAGGTGTTTAACAGTTGGTACACAATTATCAAGAGTTTAAATTCCCAATTAGTCAGACTGAGCAGGTTGAGCTGTAGTAATACACAGTTCTGAGGTGTTAAAACATTTTCATTACTATCTTCAGTAACATCCTGAATCAGAAACTCGGTTAATATCAGTTCCTACAAAGTGTTGGTACACAATTTAAGTATTCTCAGTTTAGTGCCAATATATTGTAGTATTATTAGAGTCTACATCTGTGCATTGCTGATGTAATATACGATTTATCAAGCATATCAATCTAACAATAATTAGTTAAATTTGTTAATTTACAATCGGATAATCATATGATCGGTATTTTGCATTTTTACACGATTCCAGTACGTGTTTTAGCGGAGTTTGTCGAACATTTTATTACATCGTCTTAACATAGTTTTAACACTGGACAGTGTTTTAAATGAGTATTAGAGACAAATATTCAATATCGAAATTTATTTAATCTGTAGAATATTTCCGTTCTAAGACCTCGTTTAACCTGAAACAGCTAGATCACCAAATAACCGTCCATTTGTTGGCGGAGGCCCATTAACCGATTAACGAGAATCATATTACAATCCATAATCTCAGTCAAAACTCCCACATACAATACCAGCTAAAATACGAACACTCAAAAACTCCAACTCTGTTCAAATGTAACCTGGCGGGGTCGTATATTATATGCGCATATATTTCATACATAATAAGGGCGGCAGTGATGTGGAACATAGTTGTAGCGGCGCTGCCTGTCAATTCCCTAGGGTACTGGATTTTGCCTTTGATCCAGTAATCTCACCGAATTTACTTCACTGTCAGCTGTGATCATGTTTACGGAGAGACACACTCTCTCCTACTCCCCCTCCCGTGACTCAGCTTATTTGGCAATGTTCGTGGTTTTTTGGGTTCCCTTTCAAGTTTCGTTTTAAACAAGTATAATTCCTGCCATTCCTACTCATCCCCTCTCACACAGATGCTACACTAAGTAGATATAAGGAACCATTGTAAGGAAAACCGTTAATCCCACCCAATAATATTATGATCATTACACATTATTACGATTATAACAAAGGAAATTTGCTAATTTTATCTTAATAAAGGTGCATCATGGAATTAAAAGTAGAATTACAATATAGGACATGGAGGGAGATGTAGCCTGACGGCAGGGAATGTTAAATATATGCATTATGTAGAGCTGGCCCAGTTAGAGGTCGGGATGTGTACTTGGGTACCACCTTTACCCCGACACGGACACATTTCAGAGCGATGTGGCCTGCTGCACTGGGACCTTGTTATGTGGGGATTAGTGTGGGTTGTTATGTAATTATGTGATTAGTAATTAGTGTAGCAGTAGTTACGCTCCACTCACAAAAAAAAACTTGAGCTAGTTTTGGAGCTACTTGTTCAATACTCGCTGGGCTAATTTTTAGTAGGATTCAATAGAATTTAGTCGCTGTTACTAACATAAACGTGATCACGTATACACGTTATAAATATAACTACAGAAACGTACAAAGGAACAGCTTGGTATCTCAGAATGATCCATTATTCCAGTATATTTCTAAATAATTACTTTTTAAATACTGTCACCAAATTTTACAGGGTGCATCAAAATAAGTACCATATGAATGGGACGCTCCTTACTTATCCAGGCTATTATACCTTAGTTGTAATAGTCCAGTCATTTAAGGTCAATATGGGCGTGGCCCTCCTGGGTTTTCCCCACGGTAAAAAAAATGTCTCCAACCGAAAATCGTTTATTCATACCTTTGGGAAGGTCTGTGCAAAGTTTCGTGAGTATCTGAAAATTTGCAGGTTCATTTCCATAAATGTCCATATATGACTGGACTATAAAGATCTTATATAAATTTTGATACCTTACAAGACATTTTTATAACGTACGAAATGCGACGGTTTTCCCGAAATTTCGCCATATTTTCGGACCGCCAAAATTTCGGTCGTCGTAATAGAATCCGTCGCATTATTTTTAGCTTATTCCAATAATTGTGGCTTCATCGATTCATTTTGTTCTTGAAAAGTTAGTGATATGATGGTGGGACAAATAAACACAATATTCCATGATGAATTTAATGTCAAGTTATACGTTTTAAATTTACAATAAATTACATGTATGTGCTAACATAAACGTCTTATAGACTAAGTCAAGATAAACAATTTAATACCAAACTCAATAAGTGAAACTGAAAGATTCGAGCCGGACCCCTTAGAGAAAGATGAAGAAATCGATTTATAAGTTTCATTTTGTTTCAACATGATTTTACCGATTTTTAGAAAATTTTGAATTTCCTTTGTGTCAGAAAACAAAATGATGAAAAATACCCTTATTTTCTGTGACGTCCGAAATGTGACGGTTTTTGTTCAATTTCGCCATATTTTCGGACCGCCAAAATTTCGGTCGTCGCACATTGGTCCGCCACAAAAATGTCTTGTAAGGTAGATCCAATGAGCTCAGATCTGAGGGGTCAACTGAGTCCTAGACCTCGGCAATTTTGACGATTCTGATCACAACGAGCATAGAGATAAGTTAAAAACTCTTCGTGGCTCTTCTTCAGAAAATGCTTTTTGCCCAAGCAAAAAC